ATTGAAATAGTTCAATACTACAGATGACTGTGTTCTTTTCAGTTTCCAAAAAAGACTTATGGGATGCTGACAGCTCAAGCATGCATTCAGACATATACCCAAGTCCAAAGGATACAACTTGTCAGTGACCATGTTTTCAATCACATCACTGACAACCATTCTTCAGTTTCTGCTATCTATAGTGAAAAAAACAATGAATATTCTTCCTGCATATCCAAAGCCAAAATGATAATAGGGAGGACAGAGAAAAATATGTAAGATATGCCATTTATAAGACTGTCTTTCCTTAGGAATATAGCATTAAAAATAATTGAATATAAAAATAATTCATATGAATTTTAAACAAAAACATACAGAATCTAGAACATTATGGGTCAATTGTTAATAAGCTTTTCTTACAGCTATGTGCCAGGTAAGAAAAGCAGGAGGGGAAGGATCACTATATCCTTACTAACCCATTCCTTGTTTTATTGGGCTTCGCTTTAATGCACTTTACAGATGCTACCTTTTTTTAAAAAAACAAACAGAAGGCAAGACCCTCCACCAGCAAAAAGATTACAACTTGCTTTATTGCAATACTTATTTTATTGTGATGTCTTGGGACCAAACCCATAGTATCTCTGAGGTATGTAGTCAGACAAAGTACTCAAAAAATGCTACCATAGTTATTGTTCAGTAAAAAAATCTAAGCATGAATAAAGTTTAATTGGAATGGCTCTTCCAATCTTCTAACAACATCCATTTCTTATTTAACTTGCTAAAACTGGAAGAAAAGGCAGGTGGGATTTTTCAACACAGTGGAATAGTTGCTAAAAGTAATTATTTGGGAGCTAATTTTACATTTAGTGAATAATATCACATTTTTGAAGTTTTATATTCACTTCCTTTCTTCCTTCTGTGAATGCATTATTTCTGTGTATTTTTCTTTTAAAGGCTGGTGTTCAATATAATGTATAAAATTGGACGTATTTTGACATTTAGAATACATACACACACTTAAATCCATGGTGAAATTCTTGCTTATCAATTTTAATGTGCTCCTAATTATTGCCTTACAATAAACTCCCCCCCCCCAAAAAAAAGAATTACTAGGTTCATAATAAGAACATACTAGTAAATTAAATTTTAGAAAGGTTATATCAATCATACTCTCACCACAACTGAGTGCCCATTTTATTGAACAGTGAAACTCCAGGATACCTTTATATAATTCTCTTTTAACTTTAAGTCTTGTTTTAATAATATCTGCATTTTCTGCTTTCTAATATTAGTACTTTTATTTTACTTCCTCCATCCTGTTTTCATTTAAAATTTGTTTTAAATATTTTTCTAAGATTTAAGAATATGGTGTTTTTTTGTCTGTTTTGTTCACCAATATAATTCAATTACCTAGAGCAGTGGTTGGCAAACCGCGGCCTGAGAGCCACATGTGGCTCTTTGGCCCCTTGAAGTGTGGCTCTTCCACAAAATACCACGCATGGGCGCGCACGTTGTGTGATTGAAACTTCATGGCCCATGCGCAGAAGTCAGTTTTCGGCCTGGGCGAGTCTATTTTGAAGTGTGGATGGGAGAGTTGGAAGGGGTCGACTTTAGCGAACGTACCTCAATCAGATTGAGGACGTTTTAGCAAAGGCCAGCTTAAGAGTACCCTAATTAAGTTAATAACAATGTACCTACCTATAAAGTTTAAGTTTAAAAAAATTTGGCTCTCAAAAGAAATTTCAATCATTGTACTGTTGATATTTGGCTCTGTTGACTAATGAGTTTGCTGACCACTGACCTAGAGTAAGTGCTCAAGCATTTGTTAAAGAATAAATTTGCCTCTGAATTCAGCTTTGGCAGCATAGCTTAGTTGATACTTGATAATCTGTTTGAAATTACACATTTGATGTTTCTTTTTTTTTAAAAATATATTTTATTGATTTTTTACAGAGAGGAAGGGAGAGAGACAGAGAGTGAGAAACATCGATGAGAGAGAAACATCGACCAGCTGCCCCCTGCACATCTCCCACTGGGGATGTGCCCACAACCCAGGCACATGCCCTTGACCAGAATCGAACCCGGGACCCTTCAGTCCGCAGGTCGACGCTCTATCCACTGAGCCAAACCGGTTTCAGCTGATGTTTCTTTAACTTAAAAGTTACTTACGAGAACACATATTTTTAAATTTACAAGCAAGTAAAGGTTATTACTATAATACTTGAATGTGGCCTATAAACATTCTACTTTTTAGAATTCATCAAGGTTTGACCCATGACACATTATATGACCATTTTTATAGAAATTGTCCATCAATATTTAAAACCAATGTGTATTCCTGAAAGTGCAAAAGTTGATACACAATCTGTTTCTGGTCTCCTATGCTTCTGTTAATCCCTCCTTGATTTCAAAAAAAATTTTTTTAAACATTTCAGTGATAATCTTATTTAGTTCATAAAGATCCCAGATTACATCTTCATTGCAACCTTTATACTTAAGCCAATAGGAAATGACCCTCTTTTCCCTATGTACAGTCTTTTAAAAAACAGTGAATTCTACTTTGTCCAATATTAGTTAGACTATCCTTGTCCTCCTCACTGGTCCTCTTTCTATTTCCTTGTCCATCATTAACATTTTGTGTGTAACTTAATTTTACTTACGTTTCTCAAAAATGTACAGTTGGATTTTTTTTCACTCAGTATTTTTTTAAATATATTTTTATTGGTTTTAGAGAGGAAGGGAGAGGGGGAGAGAGAGAGAAAACATGAATGATGAGAGAGAATCATTGGCTACCTCTTGTGTGTCCCACACTGGGGATCAAGCTTGCAACCTGGGCATGTGCCCTGACCGGGAATCAAACCATGACCTCCTGGTTCATAGGTCGATGCTCAACCACTGAGCCATGCCGGTCAGACTTCAGTCTTTCAATTCTTCAAATTTTAATATGGGAGCTTCAGCCTGTTCACATTAATGACAGGCTCGCACTACCTTTATAATCTTGCTTTATGCTTTCCATTTAAATGCTTCTTAGCTATTTTATTTTTCTTTTGTTTGTTAATCTTCACCTGAGGATATTTTTCCATTGATTTTTAGGAAGAGTGGAAGAGAGGGAAAGGCAGAGAAAAACATCAATGTGGGAGAGTCAGGGCCCAGGCCAGGGAGGAGCCTGCAAGCAAGGTATGTATTCTCGATCGAAATCAAACCTGGGACCCTTTGGTCCGCAGACCAATGATTTATCCCAGGGGTGCTCAAACTACGGCCTGCGGGCCACATGCAAATACAAATATTGTATTTGTTCCTGTTTTGTTTTTCTACTTCAAAATAAGATATGTGCAGTGTGCATAGGAATCTGTTCATAGTTTTTTTTAAACTATAGTCCGGCCCTCCAACGGTCTGAGGGACAGTGAACCGGCCCCCTGTTTAAAAAGTTTGAGGGCCCATGATCTATCCACTGAGCCAACCTGGCTAGGGCCGTGGTTGGCAAAATGCGGCTTGTGAGCCACATGCGGCTCTTTGGCCCCTTGAGTGTGGGCTCTTCCTAAGCCTTAAGAGTACCCTAATTAAGTTAATAACAATGTACCTACCTATATAGTTTAAGTTTAAAAAATTTGGCTCTCAAAAGAAATTTTAATCGTTGTGCTGTTGAAATTTGGCTCTGCTGACTAATGAGTTTGCTGACCACTGGGCTAGGGCATTAGCTGTTTTCTTGATTTTATCTCCATCTTTTGACATACAGACAATGTTTTCTGTGCTCATTCTCTGCTCCAATATTTTAATGTATATAAGATGTACCCCAATCCCTTGCCGAAACCGGTTTGGCTCAGTGGATAGAGCGTCGGCCTGAAGACTGAAGGGTCCCAGGTTCGATTCCGGTCAAGGGCATGTACCTTGGTTGCGGGCACATCCCCAGTGGGGAGTGTGCAGGAGGCAGCTGGTCAATGTTTCTAACTATCTCTCTCCTTTCCTCTCTGTAAGAACTCAATAAAATATATTAAAAAAAAAAAAAAAGATGTACCCCAAAATGTATATACACACTTTGAGTAATTATAAAGGCAGTGTTTATTAAAATACATTTCATTTTCAAAATTGAGTTAGCAATTGCTAAAGTGTGTATACATTTTTTGGGATACCCTATATATTCTATTTATTAGAAATTTAAAAAAATTTTTAATAAGCATACTTGGAACTATTTTGCAATGCTAAAAATGAAATAATATCTATAAATGCATACTATGATATATTAGAAATTTAGTATGCTTTGAAGTCTTAATTCAAATTTGTATTTTCTAGTATAAAGAGTACCAAATACAGATTTAATGGACTGGTTGTTTAGAAGTAAAATGGAATACTGCAAGGATGAGTACCTGGCTGTACCACAACAGGTGTTCGAATAATTGTCTTTCCTAGTGTTGATTGTTGGAGTGGTGTTCTAATCACCGTCATACCAGGGCGGATCTGAGGCCCTGTGATTACCTATAAATGACACAAAAGACAATAAGTTAAAATGTCCTTAAAAGACAAAAGCATGATGGACTTAGAACACAGATCTTTAAATACTGTCTATTAATAAACAAATCTATAGAAATGACAGAGGCTCTTGGATATCACATTTTAAATTATACTAAGCATCAGAATAAAGATGGAATTTTTTAGGGCAGAAAACTGAATTCAAATGAGATCATATGAAATTCCTTGTCATTAATATCAAGAACAGGCCAACGGGTAAAAGGATGGAACAAGAAGACCCAGTGAAGTTCTAATCTATAACCACCATAGTTGCTCACAGAAAAAATTTGTATTCTATTTTCCCTGAGCTCCAATCCCTACCTGTAATTCAGGGAATATAAGAGTAAAATCACAAACCAAATGTTCTTTTATAGTTTTAAAGGAGAGAGCACAGAGCATGTTATTTTCAGTTTTATAGCTAGAATCAGAACATTTTCAAGTCTGCAAAAATTCAAACCTTTTCCATGTTACTAGTGCCAAAGAAATGATGTCTCTAACACGTGTGCATATCAGCTGATTACAAACTAGTTAGTGTGCTGTAGACTGTATTTTTCATTCTGTTTCCTAGCTGCATAGCAAGTTTTCTTTGGTCTGGCCCACTGCTGACGAATATTTTATATATGGTCTAGAATTTCTTTATAAAATCCTAGAAAGCAATTCTTACGATTCATAAACAATTCTAACATACTATTAAGTATATGTTAAATATAAAGCTTGTCATGTATCATTTTTACTTAGAAAGATAACCAATTTTTTTAAAATCAGTACTTTGTCACAGGTTAAATAAAAGGTAGAGAAAAATTAGAAGCTGGATTAATTGTGGAAAAGTCCATTCTAAAAACCTGATGTCAGTAATATTTCAAAGCAAGATAGAGAATTCTTACTTGTGAAGTGCTTGTGGTTCCTCCAGAGGCTGTGGTATTGGGCCTAATTGTGACTGTTGCTGTCCTGGGCTGGAATGAAGTAAAGGTTTGCTGACTTGTACCTGTACTTGATGGAATGATACCCAGGACTTTTTGCTGTACTTGAACAACACCTTAAAAAAAGATAAAGTAATTAAAAAGTGCCCCTTTAACAAAAAGCATCAGCTGTTGCTCAGTTTCTGGGGAGAAACTATGTGTGGTAGGATTTTACAGTGGGCTACACAGAATGTGAGATCCGAGGACTGAAATCAGTGAAAAGGAAATGAAAAATGATGGCAACGGTATGATCTGGCAAATGTGAATTAAAACTCTTCACATTTCCCTTACCTCCTTGTGTTGCTGGCACATTTACAGCGACAATCTTGCTGTTTGCAGGAAGTGGCAGTTTGGTAATTACTTTTCCTGCCATAGTGACTGGATTGCCTGTAATTTGGAACGTCTGACCTGTGCTGGCAATGGTTGTAGCAGATGTGGCAGCTGTACTGGTGGCTAATAGGGTATAAGACATTTAATAAGCTTTACATTTAAAATAACCAGCAACGTAGTGACTTCTAGGAAGGGCACCAATGCATGAACTGTGGTTCATTTTGTATTAAAAAAAAAAAATTCCTCTCCACTCAGAGTGAACTATGTAAATGTTGAAAGTGAAATAATGTAAGAGAGGAGTTTTGCTAATGTAATATTATGGATATTATCTGTATCAAACTAACGGCTATAGCTTGTTTGCTCAATCTGCTGCAGAAGAAAAATAATTTCTAAAGAAATGTTTTATTTCAGTAGGTAATTGATTGCAATTCTTTTTCTTGAATGAAAGCAATCTTTTATTTAATCGCAGTTGTGTACCTGAATTTGACTGGCCTTGCTTAACCCATGTAGCAAAGGTCTGATGGAAGTTCTTGTTCTGCTGGAATGTTACTGTAGCTGGAGATCCAACTTTAGTGGTTAGTACCATTTTAGTTCCAGATGTAACTGAACCACTTAAGGGGGCCACCATAACTTTCTGTGCTGGAGAGATGGTACTAGTCGTATTGTTTGTTGGGGAAGTTGTGGAAGCTGAAATTACTGTAGGCTTCTGCTGTTCCAACCGTTTCTAGAAAAGTCAGGGAGAGAAAACATGAACCAAAATAGTTCTAAGTAAAAACAATACTATTCTGCAAGAAGTCCACCTATAATTTCTCCCAATCTAAGAAACTATACCATATTTCAAAAATATCTTACTTTTGAAAATATACCCATATAAATTTACCTGGAATTTAATTCCTTGATGAAAATATTTTTATGACTAAGTCACAAATATTTTATTAAAAGTAGTTTTTCATAACAAAAATTAAACACTATCAAGTTTCTTCATTCAGCTTATACGAATATCCAACCTTTCAGAGTGAAGATAATAGAGACATGAGTAATTTTACCAGACACAGAAATGCTGCTCAGCAGTGGTTATTTAGAGAGGATAACAAATAATACTAAGTGTAAAGGGTTTCTGGTTTACCATAATGTTAATTTATCCAATTATAAAAAAATGTCAATGTTCAAACAGCACTATTCACAAGGACAAGCCTGCAATTAAGCAAGCTAAAACTTAGAAAATAATTTGTCTAGATTATTTTTGAGTTCAAATACTTTTACAGAAAAATACTTTAGACTATTCTATATAGAGTGGTATAATCTGATCTTTCAGATATTAGTCATTAAAGACAATTTGTGTACATTTTATCACAGATTGATGACATTTCCTGACAGCTTACAAACTTGATGGTGGTAAGCTTACACATATAAAATAACTAGCCCTATTGGTTTGACTCAGTGGATAGAGCGTTGGCCTGCGGACTGAAAGGTCCCAGGTTCGATTCCAGCTAAGGGCATGTATGTACCTTGGTTGCGGGCACATCCTCAGTAGGAGGTATGCAGGAGGCAGCTGATCGATGTTTCTCTCTCATCAATGTTTCTAACTCTCTATCCCTCTGCCTTCCTCTCTGTGAAAAATCAATAAAATATATATTAAAAATAAAACAAACAAACAAAAACACTAGTGGCCTGGTGCACGGATTCATGCACTGGTGGGGTCCCTTGGCCTGGCCTACAGGGATCGGTCGAAACTGGCTCTCCCACATCCCCCAAGGGGTCCCGGATTGCAAGAGTGCGCAGGCCAGGCTGAGGGAACTCACCGGTACATGATCGGGGTCGGGAGGGACTGCAGGAGGGCTCCAAGGCATGTCCGGCCTATCTCGCCCAGACCTGATTGGTTGGACTCCAGCAGCAAGCTAACCTACTGGTCAGAGCGTCTGCCTCCTGATGGTCAGTGTGCATCATAGTGACTGGTCGAATGAACAGCCAGACACTTAGCTATATAATATTAGGCTTTTATTATATAGAATAGGTGGTATGGATTACAAACCTGGCGGCGGATACTTTACCTTCATTAAATGCTCAGACCAACTCAATAACGTTGCTGGTATTGTGATTTAAAGATGAGGAAACTGAGACTCAGAGAGGTTGTGAAACTGGCTCAAGGCCAGAGCTAGTTAATGGTAGTGCTGAGATCCAATTCTCAACTATCTCCTGCCATTGGAAATCACTCACCAATGACATCACACGCCTCTTCTTAGGACTACATCCTCTATGCCTGAATACAATGTATTTCACATAATTTCATCAGAAGAAAAGGAGTTTTAGTTTTGGATATTTAGACATATCATCTGATTGAATCAATTAAAAAAGGAGGCAAAAAAGACTAAACACATATCTAGAAATTACTTCCTGAGGCTAAATCTTCAAAATTAACTATGTTCACTATCTTTGTAAATAAGGATGTTAAAGAAATTTTAAGACTAGTCTACGGCCATACCACCCTGAACGCGCCCGATCTCGGAAGCTAAGCAGGGTCGGGCCTGGTTAGTACTTGGATGGGAGAAATTTTAAGAATAAATCATTAAGGTTACATTGTGGAGATGACAAGACATGCATAAAATGAAAAAACCCCCACAAAAAACCCACAAACAAAACAAAACAACCAGCCAGTTTTTCTATGAATGAACAGAATCAGAAAGTGCTGTTATCTCAAACTTTGATGTAAGTGAAGATAATGACCTACACTAAACTGATGTAAAAGATACCTAAGAATTTGGAAAAATGTTTTATAAAATGTGAGAGGGAAAAGGTAGTTTGGAATAAAGAGCTAGTTTATACAAAATATAATTATTTTAAGTTATATGTAACTTAAGTTAATGATATTATAAATAGACATGTATCTATTTCATTTGCATCTTTTAAGCTTATATATTCAAGTTTACTAAAACGTTTTATAGTATCTCCTTAACAGAAAAAAGAGGCAGTCATTTTTATGTTGGTCCTTAATATTCAGACAATGGTTTCTTACCATTTCCATGGTTTTATGGTCATCAATTACAACAAACTCAGAATTTTAGTACAATTTGCTTTTCATAGAATAAAGAGATTTTATGGATTGGAATTCTGTTGGAAAAAAATTCCTTTAGAAACTATCCACCAAATTATAAAGATAATAAATAAATCTTATTTCAAACATCGTACTCCAAATATGTATACTTTTTGCAAAACTAATGCTTGATGTAGCCACAGAGCTACTTTAAAGTAATAAAAATTAAGATATATTTGAGATACCCTTAAAAAAATAAAGCTATATAAATATATCATTACTGTGCTTTCAGTGTGCATGAAATTGGCTAAAAATGTCAATTCATTGCCAGGTGGGACTGGTACCAACTCCCCCACCTGCTGGGCAGCCAATCGCTGCTGTTTGAGGTGAGCCTCCATTTGGGCCTTGAAGTCCTGTGCCTTCTTCTGTTCACTAACCTTAGCTTGTTGCTCAACTGCTTGTGCCTTTTCCTTCTCCACTCTGCAGGGAAAAGAGAACTTATCAGAAACTACCTCATTAGGCGCCTGGCATCTATGTTAAGTGAAATCTGGTTGACTTTCACATCATAAAGAGGTATCAAATTATTTTGATTTAAAAATAACACACTTAAATTAAGATCATTGGAAACTCACAAGTAAATAAAATTAAAACCAGGATCTTAATAAATTATATTCTGCTAGTACTTGAAATCAAAAGGTAGAGTAACATCAGGACACATTGAATAAACTATTAAGGGGGTAATTCTTTAATTCTGAAGCGATAAAATCTTCAAATATCTGATACCATATTAGCCATTTCCTTACCTCTCAGCAAACGCCCTGATCTCCCATAATTCCAGCTCTTCCTCTGCTACCCAAGTTTCAATAATAACAGGGCCAGTTTGCTTAGGCGTTTCTGGTCTCTTCGGCCGTAATGCACTTGATCGAAGGCCTTTTCTCTGGGGTGTAGGTGTTTCTTTGGAAAAGAAATCAGAGTATTTTAAGCAATATAGCTCCTAAAATTATAGTACTTCTGGCATCTCCTCTTATACATCATGAAGAGCAGGGATTGGCAAACTTTTTCTTAAAAAGCCAGATGGTAAGTACTATGTGGACCAGATGGTCTCTGCTACAACTTCTTAACTCTGCCTTTGTATCACAAAAGGAGCCAAAGATAATACGTAAGTAAGTAAGTATGGCTGTGTTCCAATCAAACCTTATTAACAACA